CTAATATCATGGGGAACTCCGTTCCCATGACAACAAGAAGTTACTAACGAAAACCATCCGACCGCTGAAACAACGTACATATATGCATGGCCTACAGGACTGCATTTAATACCGCCCTGGACATAATCAGTGGTATTCCGCCTTTAAATCACCTGATCACCGAAAGACTCAGCCTTTGGAATAAAGAAGCAAGCAAACCGGATATCAAAGCCTCCGTCAGAGCAGCCTGGATTTCGGATTGGCAACAAGACCCAACTAAAGACGTCTGGCTCAAATGCCTTCTCATAGACCCAGAATTTTGGCTCACCAGAAAATTCGGAGACGTAGATTTTTTCCTCACACAAGCCCTAACAGGACACGGTGCCTTCAACAGTTAGCATCCATCGCATGAAAATTTCACCATCTCCCTTCTGCTCGTATTGCCCCGCAGCACTCGACACCCCGGAACACTCACTCCTCAAATGCTCAAATTTAACCCGGGAAAGAGATTTGCTATTTGATCAATCCTAATACTAAACTTATAAATCTTGTTTAGGAGTTGATATCCAGATTTCTCGTTGATGATACATTTTTTCGTTAAATTTTGAAGAGGAAACGTTTTACACAGTTCTTTAACTTATACCTTGTTTTGTGGCCCAGTAAATATCACATTAAATGTTTGCTAATCAAAATTGAACATAAAACAAGTCGAAAATTTCCAAACTTTGGCCAAAGTGAAAAATGAACGTTGTAAGATTTACAATGTAATCGGTAAATTCAAACTTCCTACTCGAGAAAAAATCCTGATTAACGTAGGTCAGATCAGCTAGAGTACCTTTATAGACAGAGTATGGCCATTCGTATCTTTTTACTGCAGGAAAACTGTTCCGCTTTTTGATTGGTCAACGAGTTTTTAGGCTTCATGATGCTCTTATGGCCGTAAATAAACAAACAAGATGGTGACTCACCGTAACATTGATAAGACGCTAAAATTTGACATAAATTTCAATTATACGGCGGTAAGAATTTAAACTAGCATATCTGCGAATAACACATGAAAACACCGTCAAATTGCCTTTCGCCTTTATCACGGTAGGATGTAAGATGTGCATAACCTCAAACTTGCTTGCTGATAGCAGCCATCTTGTTTGTTTATTTACGGCCGTAAGAACATCGTGTCAGCCTATTTGCTCGCAACCAATGAAAAACCGGCACAGAAATGGGCATACTCTGTCTATGAAGGTACTCTAATATCAGCCATTAGTCAACAACGTATAAGTTAGGAAAATAACGTTTTTCCATAGCGTGGCAGTTTTGTCCATCATAACCACCCGCTTCCACCAATAGGATCTCCTCATACTCCTTATATCTTCTTTGTCCATCAATTTCAATAATCAGCCCGCGGGGACGAGAGGCCGATTAAGGGTCGTTGCCGTATTGAAAATCATCCAGGGTCAGTCGAAGCTCCAAGTACGGAATCACGTCCCAACGGTTGAAAGACATGTATTTTTTGTTCAGAATATGCATATTCTTATTCTTCTTTTTTTTGGAATGCATAATGCGTGCCTATTTTTTGGGTGAGTTCGTGGGGGTGGGATTATTTTTAAAAGTAGGTAGAATCTTGTACATTGTAGAGTTTTAATTGCACCTCAGCCTGGAGCGCAGTCTGGGAGAAACTGTAGTCCAATGTTACTCGACCCAGTCAATCCTATTCGATACCGTGAAGGATGGTAAGTTGGCACGCCAGGACTCCCAGTACTCATAGACCGTTTTTTCGGGCCCGTCCGGCGCTGTTGCTGAAGCAAACACGGGCTGTTCTTGATGGTTTTGAGCTAAACTAAATCCATTTATTTTTTCAACCTGAAATCAGACGAAGTGCTCACATAAGGACTGCAGGAGAACATCAAGAAGGAGTTTAAATAAACACTGTTCATGACGGACGATTGCTTTCATCTTGAATTTAGAAGTTAGTCAAATTTAAACGAATTTTCTCTACGCAGTATAAATGTATTTTGAATATTTATCATGATGCTCTGGACTCGAAAGTGAAAACTAAGCGTGCTCGAATTTTTCATATTGAAGGGGGAGGGGAAAATTCCAGGAACATTATTTGCTGGTTTGAATTATTGGAGAAATTTTCATGAATCAAGAGATGAATGTTGGCGCTGTCACGGAGATTGCGGTTTTTATAGCTTTATCAAAAAATTTTAATTGATAACGAAAATACACGTCAACAGCACATCTCTGCGGGGATCAATCCTTATAAATGTTACGAGTAATGAAATTACTCTTAAAAACCAGGATAATGAAAGGAAAGGACACTCTATGCCCTCATCCTATCCCATATGCAATGAGGTGTTGATAAGCTATGTGGACTGAGGTTTCCAGCCGGTTTCCTCCAAAAGTATTGAAAAGCTAGTCTAAGTCTTCGGTCTACTTAGGAATGAAGTTATAAAAAATGAACAACGAAAAACAAGAAGTGAATTCCAACACTATGTGTTGATAAGACGCGTCATTAACTCGCACATATCAACCCCTTTAGTTTTCATTTACAGAGATTGCAAAATAGGCAAGCAGCACTACAAGAGAATTCACGATCCAACACTGCGAGGTCAACGATGCACCTTGACGAGACCATGTATTGTGAATGTAAAAGCTTAGCCATTTGAACGAGTTTAAGTTTTTTGATCTGTCTCAACCAAAATCTTATCAGATTCTTGAAGAAAAGCGCTAAGGAATAATGTAAGCAAAGAAAGGAAAAATTCAGTCGAACTCCTGAAAGAGAAAGTCGATTTAAGGGTATTTTGGGGCTAAAATACCCAGATCACCGGTAGTATATAAATCCCGTTATATTATTGAAAAGACATTGACTCGATATAAATGCAATTACATTAAATATGTCTTGATTTTGTTATTTTAAACGTCTTTCCATGCAAAGAAGTTCAACCATGTCCATGCTTTATTCATTCATGAATTGAGAGTGAGCAATCTACATCTAGAAAATCTACCGATTTGCCGTAAGAAATTGCAGAAACTTGATATACCAGGTCGATGTACCCACTCGTTGAATTTACCAATCAATTTAGTGAATGCAAATGTGTAAAAATCAATAAGCTATAGTCATTTTGGGTGCATTCATTTTTCATGAAACAATAATAATTTCAATCCCGGAAAACCATACATTTTTCGTACAAAATCAAAAAAATCAAAATGTGTCGACTCCCTAACGTGAAAATTAAATTCTACGTGTAAAAATACTTATGTATCGATATGCTGAACAGAATGCCCGCCTCTCCTCGTAATTTACAAACCGTTCCTATACTCATCTCAAAATTTTTCTCAGAGCTTTGTGTTATTATCAGCTTCCATTTAAACCCCGGTTTTATGGCCGAATCGGCTGCCCAAAAAGCAAGCCATTTTTGAAGGGCTCTATGAGAAATTCTTGATATTATCAGCTCTCAGGAAATCACCTAATGGGTAAAATTGCATGGGTAAAAAACTCGAGGTATAAATTTTCGAGTGCTTAAAATAATCGTATTCAAGAAACTAAGGCATTAAACTATGGAGTCAATTTCGTTTTAATAATATAACGAGATTTACTTGTCTTCAGGTCAAAACTCATACAAGGAAGCCCCTTGCAAGAGGCGATTTTTTTGTAATTACTCCCAATTTTTTTTCCGTTATATAATGGAATTGCTTGTCAAATTCTGAGGTCAATTTTATCTAATTGTAATTTATACATTTCTTTTTTTCCCCTTCATTTTATTTTTTGTTTGGAGAATTCGAGGTTTTGTTGATTTCTTCAGATTTCGAATACTGTAACATCTCTTCTATTCGGCCGATTTTTATGAATGAGACCTCTTTTAATTCGTGTCTTAACGGAGAGTAAGAAAAATAATTGCTAAGTACACGCGAAACAATTTTTTTTTAAAATTGGACGAATCCTAGCGTGACGGTGAAATGGTTAATGAAGCGTGAGTAATTGGGCGAGAGGCTGAGGATCCCGGCCTCGCTTGGCGACCGTCATTAGCTATTGTTCAACTGGAGACGCCGCGCCGACGCAGCGGTCAGGCGCGTGGGGAAGAGAGGGGTAAGTGAATTCCTGTATGAGCCACGTTTAGCTAATGGTCTAATGAGTCTCGAGGCCCATCACAGATTACACTTACAGATTGCCCTGGTTGGCCCATGCTATCAGACCAAGGGTACCAAATTTTGAAAAGCATATCAGGGGTGGAGAGCTCTGTCAAAGCAACGTTTTGAACGAAACGGATGATTGCAATTTTTCATTCGAAGAGTGCCGAACTGGTCAGCCATCTTCGAATCAGTTTGCTTGCTTCTGCTTACATATGCATATTTTAAATCAGCGCTGAGTATTCTTAGGTTTTTTTAAAAAAAAACCAAGTAACGTAGACTCTTGGTATTCATTACACATAAACTAGAAAGCCCCAGAATGAGAAACCAATTTAAATAATTATTATTGACGGATTAGTAAACTTTTTACACGCTTTGGAAAATCTCAGAAGTTCGCGGTAGTCACTTTTCGGTAAGGAACTAAGGGACTCGGTTATTGTATCGAGTGGGGGGTCGAAACGATCGCAAAGGCGGTATACTACGTATACGCGCCAAAAATGATGAAATTTAAACTTTTTTTTTTTGGTGGACAACACTACTTCCTCTGCCCGCAAGAAGAGTGAGTAAGGAAAAAGTCCACAAAAGAACAATTATTCATAGTCGGTGCGTAATACATTTTATCAAACATGATCAAGAGATAGAACCTAATGAATAAAGCAAAGAGACAAAAAAGTCTCATCAGCAAATTCCAGTATTGTGAGTACCGGAGATTAGTATAATCACAAAATGTGGAAATGCAAATTTAACCACACTGAAAAAAAAGTAGCTTGGATCAAGCATGATAATTCTTGAAATTGCCGCCAAGAATTTTCTTTATCTTGCTTTAAGCTGACTTTTTCTTGATTCAAGAAAAACAATGCTTGGGTTAAGCAAAAAAGTAGCGTATATTAACCAGCAAAATTGTTGATTTAAGAAGAAATACTTCTTGATGGCAAATTTAAGATTCTTTTTTTTCCAGTGCATAGTAAACAACTCACTTTCATTGAGCGGAAACAAATCGAGGCATTACATCATTACATTGGGCAAATAATCAATTTATATCTGGTCCAAGTAAACTCTTGGGTTAGGTAACTGCGAACGAAAATGTTATTGGAACGACTTCACAATCGGGCCAAAAATTTCTTGGATCAAAGAAAGTTGGGTTAAGTGTCCGGCCACCGGCATGACGCATCTAGCAACGGTTTCGGTCGATCAATGCTGAACAACAATCATTGTAACGTCTTGATGCAACATGCAACTATTCGTGCTTAGGTGATGTGCGTATTGCGTGTACACAAAATTGAAGGCACCACAAAATATATTTTCAAGCGGCAATGCGCGCGGGTCACCTGCGTAAGGATGTCTACCGCGCTCTTTCACGTTTTTAAAGAGCCGTTTTCTTTTTTTTTTATAAAAAATAACTAGTTTCTCTCCAGATTAACTCGATACAACTGAAAGAGACTTTTAACTCTTTTTTGATGTAAACTTGTACGGTATTATCTTCAGCAATTGCTTAAAATGTTCTCATTATTTCAGTATCTTCTCGCTGTCGTGCAGAGGATGAGTATGTACGAATATCGCACATTTGGACGTATTTCAATCAAACGGAACTATGTGCATTATGACGTGAGCCCTGTTATGCATGTATTCTTATGGGTCTCAGGGCTCATGTCTGAATGCACATAGTTCCTTTTGGCAGAAATACGCCCATTTAGGAATGATAAAAGGTCCTTTCATGGGCTATGAGCCCCCGATGCCCTCTTGAACTGTTCTTTCCCCCACACCCAACACCACTGCACCAATGCCGCCTCCCTAATCATCGAAATTCGAAGCTACAAAAAATTCGTACAAGTCGTTTGATACTTACCTCCACGATTTCAGCATCGATGTTATCGTAGAGTCTGCATCTGGTCTCGTGTACAATTCGAAGTTTTCCGGTCATATCACCATCCGGCTGTATTATTCCTTGCGCCAAATAAGAATTGAACCTTTTCTTGTCTGAAAGCAATCCCTCGTCAATTCGCTTCCTCAAGAATAGATGATGAAGGTAAAGAGCGGTTTTCGGATTCAAAAGCCGTAAGCAGCAAAGATGAAGCGCGATGATTGCATCTTGAGCTTTGAAATAGTGGGAAGGTATCAGTCCTCCGAATTCAGGAGCGCCAAACATTTGGGAATGAAATTGTTTTCACCGTAAGTTCCATTCGACGTTAAGCCTAATAAATTAGGAAATAAAAATCTCAGCCGCGAATAGGTTATAACCTCGGTTGCAGTGCCTGATATTTTAATACTATACTTCTTCTCAAGAGGACGGACCTTTTTTAGAACCGTCATATGTCGTTTTATGTTCTTTCGGTTCCTCTTTTCACGTTTCGTCTCCCATATTAAGGGTTTTTTACTATACTCTTGATTTAACTGCTCAATATTTTTTTTCAATTCTTCGACAGTTTACTCCAAAAAATCAAGGTTTTCATATCGTCAATGAACGTTGTTGGTGACGGAGCTTCGCCTCCAGAGGAAAGCCGTTCGATCAGCAATTCCAAGCTCCTCGCAGGCTTGAAATTTTTGTACTCAGAAATCACTTTTGCATCATGCGTATCGCAATCCTTAAGCACAGTGCAGTCGTTAAGAGCATCCAAGACTTCAGATAACAGTTTCTTGGAGCAGGTTGCTTCTGCTGAGTCTTGAGACATCTTCCGAGTTCCTGTTGTTAGAGATTCAACTCAAAGTCTGAAACTGCCCTTGGAAGCTCCCTTTTTCCAGGTGCACTGTAATAAAGAAGAAGCGTAAAATCTTGATTTTGTAACAGCAACATTTTGTTTGAAGGATACAGTTGGAGCGCATTAAGCAGAGAAGAGCCGATCCACGTCAGCTATTGCCAAATTTAATTGCGCGATTTAATGTTTTACTTACATGAGACCGGTTGTGCGTATTTTTGTGCCAACTCCAGTGAATTTTCTGTTCAGTGCGAGACAAATTCCTTGAAATTTTCAAGGGAATTCGCACAAACGTTTGCTCGTAAAAAATTCAAATGCCCAGCTGAATTCGGCATTAGCTACAGATGTGGCTTGGTTCCTTTGTGCTAAACGCGGTCCAGTTAATTTCAACGGAGATAATTTATAATAATTTCTGTAAAGGCACGCATTATTTCTTTTTTCTCCTTGGTTGTAGACTTTTTTTGAAGATTGTTAAAAAAAAAATGGATTCTCTCATATTTTATCTCTTAGATCTCCTGCTTTTCATCCTCTCTCAAACCCCCAATTTTTATCAAATTCTTCTAATTTTTTTAATGCGGCTTAGGGATGTCATTATTATTACTGCTCGTTGCTCGTCAAGAGGAGGCCTTGTCCTCTTTTCAAGTAGCATGTTTCTAGTGAAATACCGGGATATGACCAGAGCGATGAGATTTCTTTCGAGGAAAGCAGCCTAGTACGAGGGTCGTTCAGGAATTGAGAATCCCTATTATTTTTCATAACAACTATTAACGCTACAAAAATTGCAATTGTACCATTTGAAAGGATTATATTTGATTAAGTGCTCGCTTGGAAATTGCATTTTTCTGCGGTCCGTTCGAAAAATGTCCCGCCACCTCTTGACCGTCTGCAAATTGTGAGGAAAAAATGGGAGGTGAAACGAGACGAAAATCGCCAGAGTACAAATTGAAAAATTGCCCTATATAATAAGAGTATCAAAATTTTACGCTATTTTTTATAAACAAAATGAAAGACGAAATTTGGTGCTAGATCCTGTAAGTTAAAATCCAATGGTACACAAATTATACAGAAGACTGTTAAGATTAAAACATTTAAACTCATGTTACGGCTTTTTAGCACACATCAATTGAATCACATATTGCAGAAAGGGCACTATTGCAGAAATGTTAACTGTTCAGAAAATGCAAAAAACTGATTTGAGTAAACCATAAGCTTTTGGAAAAAAATTTTCGAGGTTTTCTTTTGTCCCCCAAGTAGACTGACAATTTCCATAAAAAAATTTTACACGATACTCTTTCTGGGTTGTAAATAATGACACTTGAAGGAAGAGCATTAGTGCCCTTTCTGTAATACATGGGGGAAGGAGCCATAATGAGTGATAGAATGAAGCCAGAAAATTATTTTAGCCCTTGTTTTTCATCTCAAATGTATGGCAATGATGCATGTCTATAGCGGAAGTTGGAAATTGTATATCTCCATTGCAACGTTTCAAAATTTCTGCTCTCTTTTTATACTATTTTTTTAAAGAGAACTAATAGAGATTTTCCCATGAAATTTTCAGAAAACAATCTTGATGGTGTGAAGAAAATTTACACAAAATTTCAATAGAGAATACTTAAGAACAAAAAAAAGAAGACGAAATAAAATTGGCAATGTCGCAATTGATGGTATGCGATTTCGAACTTTCACCATGTGGTTTGCCCACAGCTATGTAAATTTTAAAAATATTTCTGGCTTATTTCAAGTCAAGAAATTAAAAAAAAAAAAAAAAAAAAAATGTATCCCTTGAAGTTCAATAGCGTAGTAATCTTCTACCTACTTCCTCATCCAACCTGTTAAGGGCTCCTCTCACTTCCTACACTCAAGTTTCAATTCTCACTCCTTTCATTTTCAGCGTGAGTGAAGCGTGTAGCGTGATCACTGTAGTTTCGAAACGCAAAACTAACCTCTCAATCGTATCAAAACAAAACAAACGACGAGTTGTCGCTGCCGATGCGCGCGCACCCAGTGGGCATGTACTGCAGAAATGGCACTATATGCTGCAACAGTGCCCTTTCTGCTCTACGTGAAGAACTTAACCCCTGTCAAAAACACATAAAAAATGCGAATATAGTGCCCTGTCTGCACTACAGGATGTGTCTACATACAAATGCGAAAACCGCAAAAAACTCAATTTCGAAAAAAATGTCGATTGTGCCCTTTCTGTAATAGCTGATTCAATTATACTCGTCTACGGGAAACACTATTCGGTTCCTCTAACGTAATTTCCGTCGATATTTACACATTTCTGAGATCTTGGTATCAGTTTGTCGATACCCTCTCCGAAAAACTCTTTTTGCCGCTGTTTGATGAAACCCATGACACAGCTTTTCAGTTCCTCGTCAGATTCAAACTTTAAACCGCTCATGAACTTCCTCAAAACTGGAAAGAATTGATAATTGCACTGAAAAAAAATTAATGGCGTTTTTACCAAGGTCTATTGGTACCTTTACCATCTCACTTTTTTTACCAATTATTGGTAATTTTATCAAGAAAGACTGGTAAGCTTACCTAAAAACCGGTATTTTTACTGTTTTTTCAGGTAAGAATACCACTTTTATTGGTAATCAATTCCCGGTAACTTTGCCATTTTATCTCGGTAATTCTATCACAGTTGATAAAAAATATTGGCGTTTTTACCAAGGTCCAGTAAAATTACCAATTCCATAGATGGTCATTTTACCAAGAAAAAACTGGGATCAAATAGAACCCTGAATTCTTGGTAATTTTACCCTTTTCTTAGTAAATACACTGAGATTTTGTTTCCAGTGTGTTTGAAGTTAAATCGGGGCTATATGGTGGATGGGAGAAAAAAGTCGGTTAAAAGTTTGGATCTGACGAGGAACTGAAAAGCTGTGTCGTGATGTAGTTAGTTTCTTCAAACAACGGACAAAAGAGTTCTTCGGAGAGGGCATCAACAAACTGATACCAAGATCTCAAAAATTTGTAAATGTCGACGGAAAGTACGTTAAGAGAACTGTTTTTTGTCGGTAAATTTTTCCATTTGTACTCCGGTGGTTTTTGTCTCGTTTTACGTCCCATTTTTTCCTCACAATTTTCAGACGTTAAAGAGGTGGCGGGACATTTTTCGAATGGACCGCAGAAAAATGCAATTTCCAAGCGAGCACCTAATCAAAAATAAAAAAACCAATACGCCGTTTAAAGTTAAAAATACCGATTTTCTAAAAGTATGTTTGCAATTTTTGTAGTTTTAATAGTTGTTAAGAAAGAAAATGAGGAACCCTACTTTTTGAACGACCCTCGCATATTGATCGGATTGAAAACTCGTCCTCCTTAAAATGGATGCAACATTGTTGCTGCACTGCGGTATGGCTATTCTTGGAGATTTAGTTGATGAAACCTCTTCACTTTGAAGAAAAGGACCTACTCTACATCACAATTTTATAGGTGAGAAAAGACAAGTAATAAAGAAAAATTGATGCGCAAATGGCTGAAAAATCTCTACAAAAGCTTTCCGTTAGTCGGTAAACGATGCTTTAAAAAATGTCCAAGTATCAAAGAAAGCATTGAAACTCACCGAAATAGTATAAATAACAGGATCAGATGAATGTCGCACTTTGACTGTTGATGAGATGCCAGTTTCACTGTTCTGAGCACAGAGAGTACCCGATGACTCAATGATAAAAGACGTCTTTTGATAAAAGATAATCTGATAGGCAATCAGTAATAATTCTCAGTTGTCAGTTGTTCAGATATATTGCGTTTGTTTGTTTGTTTGTTTTTTTTTTGTTTTAAATTTTTTTCCGATGAAACCAACTCCCTGTTTGTAAAGAGAATTTGGAACTTAAGAACTGCGCATAAAGGAGAAAGAAAAGAGAGAGCGGGAGAGTTTCACTTTTTCAGATTAGCTTGTCGTAATGTTTACGGCGAGTCCGCAGATGCCAAAAAAAGGTTGTGATAGTTCACGGGACTGAAACAACAAGCACCCTAACAAGAGTAGACACATTTGTGCTATAAAAGGAACTATGCGCACGAGGAAAGATGGGGTGTGCTCTTGGAAGCTGAATAAGAAACAATGTGCTCAGTGGTTGTAGTTCCTTTTGAGAAAATGGAAAAGCGGGATTTGACATTAAATCTAAAGGAACTGAGCGCTAACTCGTGAGCCGTGGACATGTGACAAGGGGGTTTGCGGACAATAAGGCTCAAGAGGTAAAGAGTCCCGCCAACGATTTCTCCGTTGTGCGGCTCTCGTTCGTCGCCGCGGACGTCACTGGCGCTTTTAAATTCCCTTTCATTCTTATGACCCTCAACTAACGAGCACACCCCATTTTTCCACTTGCCTATAGTTCCATTTAGCATAAATACGTCCAGTTTTCCTGTAGATTTAAAAAAAAACCCTCAAAAAGGGTAAAAATTTAGCCAAGCCTATGAGATCTTATCACAAAATTAGTAGGTATTTATCTTAACAAATTTTAAAAAAGGAGAGGGGGGGGGATAGTAATCTCTTGAAAATTACAGAAGGAGAAAAGAAAAGCAACTCAGATTCTGTTTTCCATTTCAAACCTCAAAATGTCTGATATCATTTGAGGTCAAGATTTTTTAAGTATAGGTACGCCCCAGAACTAAGTCCCCTTCAGTTAGTCTCGGACGCAACCAGCTTACCTTTGAAGCTAGTTTGGTTGCCTGGGTCACTAATACAAGGAAAGATAATTGGATTTGCTTCCTTCGAGAAGATGGCGAGGGATAAAATAAGCAGTTCTTTTTTCAGTCTCAAACCTCAAAATATTTGATATCTTTTGAAGTCAAGATTTTTTACCATCTCCTCATCTCACTTTCATTTTCGTTTTGCATTTTAGGAAACTAATTCCACTCCTATACATCATTGAACTTTCTTTAATTTTTCGCTAATTATTCCCCTTCATTTCAGGTAGCCGCAACTCTTCTTACCTACAATAGCTATGTAAGGAACCATTGTATAATACTTTTGAGACCTTCCTCGTTTAGATCAAAAATAGAATAAATATTTTCAATTCAGATTCTGGCACACTCTTTGAAAATTAAAAAAAGAAGTCAGGTAGATGAAGGTAAATTTCGTGAAAAAGTCAGTAAGTTCAAAAAATTATTTCTCATAGGTGAGCAAATCAAAATTTGACCTAAAGCCGAAAGTCGATTTGACGTAGCAAGGCGATTCCTGAATATGAGTTCAGCCAATCGGCAAACGCCGTTTCCCCTACTATGGTCACGTTATCAGCGCCCGCCAAAAATGCCGTTTCAAACGAATTCGGTTTTTGGCTTTATCAAAACAGCCCCCCTCCCCTCAATTTAAGGTTAAAAAAATCTGAATAATTCCCAGGAGCGTAGCTCACTCCATACTTTCCAAACATGAATTTAAAAAAAATGGTAGGCACTGACCGCCATTGAGGTTTTTTCGGTGAAGCTCTTATTAAGCTACGCAATGGCAACATATGGCTACATGCAATGCATGAATGCATGTTGCACATGGCATCTCAACGCCCGCGGGAAATCCAAGTGTTGCCAGAGATTCTGGCGCGTGTCAGTGTATGTGCAAATAATGTTTATTTAGTGTCATGTGCTATTTTCTTGGCTTTAATCCTACACAATCCCTCAAATTCCAGGAATCGTGAAATCCACCCTTGCCCTCCTCGGAGCGTCAGGTTCTCATTCGCGACGAAAAATGCAACCGCCACACGGTGGATCGAGTCAACAGGAGAGGTTGGACAAAATTTAGAAATTTTCAAAGCTCCCTACTCCGTTTATACAACCCTTTGAGGTTCTAAAAGTGGCTCCATTGGGTTCCTAGTGAAATTGTCTTCAAGAAGCACAACATATAATATAAAATGTGACAAAATGAACATCAAAATTTGCAGTTTTAGTCTAAAATTTCTTGTTCGACCTCTCTGATTGACTCAGTCCACTGTGCGCAAATCTCAAGTCTCAAAATGCAGAGGAAAAGGATCGTGCGGCTGCATCACAATCGCTTAATTTTCACGAACTAAATCCAGGATGCCTAAACACGTCTGGAAAACTAGGAATTTTCAGGTCAGGATCAAGTCACAGACAATTAAGGGAATCCCATGAAAAGACTGATTAATATACGAGCGCTTTCTATGGATCTCGAGCTTTCCGACTTTGCAAAACTTTTTTGCACTTGAAGAAGAAGAAAAAATATCGAAAATCATGCGCAAAAAATAAAAAAAAAATGACATCATATCGTCGTCTCCCCTCCAAAAGGACGTAACTACATTTCAACGTTGCCGAATTTTCCCGCCCAAATTTCATTTTTACTTGTGAGAATCTTGGAAATTTCCAACTGAAAATTGTATTGATTTTCCTTCTGTACTCATGCGAGATCTAGAACAATTTTTAACAAAAACTGTGCGGATGAATTCTTGTAAAAAATTTAATTGTTTGAGTGAAGTTTTTAAGCTTGAAATGAAGTTACGATATCTCTACTGGCGAACGGGTGATTCTAATCAGTGAGAATGGAAACGCGCCAACTCGGAAAAATGAAAATGTTCAAAAAACACAAAAAAATGAGAAGTAGACGAAAAAATTGGTGGAAGAAAAAGCTTCTTAGTGCCAAAAGACAGCTACTTTGGGACACTGCACGGAGAAAAAAAACACGGTTATTCGACGGTACCACGGTAATAATGTCACATGGGATTCCATGGTAGTGGAACCGTGGATTTAGGTAATATCATAGTATGTCTGTGCCCACAGTAATATTACGGTGAACAGTGAACACGGTCATATCACCGTGCTCATCGTTACAAGAATCAAAATCCACGGTTCTACTACCGTGGAATCCCGTGTGACATTACTACCGTTGTAACGGTAAAATAACTGGTTTTTTTTCTCGGTGTGCAAAGGCCCAAGTTGACATTTATGCGCCGTCTTCAATGGCTTTTACGGAAATTGAGCATTTTCAAGTTTCCGAGTTTGTGTGTTTTCGATCTCACAGTGTGACGGCGGGTCTGATCACTCGCGACCTCGTTGAGATCGTAACTGATCAGACGCGTCCTCCACTCTAACTATCCGAACTAGTCGTCGCCGTTGGCACCGACCGGGGGACGACTCGCGACCTCGTTGAGATCGTAACTGATCAGACGCGTCCTCCACTCTAACTATCCGAACTAGTCGTCGCCGCGCCGTTGGCACCGACCGGGGGACGACTCGCGACCTCGTTGAGATCGTAACTGATCAGACGCGTCCTCCACTCTAACTGGACTGCATTTTGCAATTTGGAACTATAAATTCTGGCTCTTCTGGAAAAATACTTATGTGCATAGGGAAAATAATGGCACATACGTTGCTTCTAAACCGGGCTAGAATTTATAGTTCCAAATTGCAAAATGTAGTCCAACTATCCGAACTAGTCGTCGCCGTTGGCACCGACCGGGGAACGAATAGTTAGCAGGAGTGTCAAATGGGAATAGGGAAAATCAGTGGAGACCTGGATTTGGAGTAGACACCTTCTATTCAAATTAGCGAGCCCTGCGATGTATGATACAACTTATGGTGGTCTTTCTCGTCGGCTGGTCCTTTCAAGACTGACCAAGTGACCAGCCGCCTCGTCGCTTGAGTAGCGGTTAGCGACGCGTCTCCCTTCCCCCTCTCTTTGCAGTCGCGCCTGCGCGCTGCTGTCTTCTCTCTCCTCTCTTTCTCTGCTCGGAAGAGAGTCGCGTCACAACAGATACAAATGGTTTTTAACATCTGAAATCGCAGTTCTTGTCAATTTATATTGAATGAAAATGTCAAATATATCTTCTACACCAGTGGGGAGGTGTGATTGATCGATTATCGAAATTTCACCATTTGAAGCTATGGTAAAGAATCGATTATTAAGGTGTTAGTTGCGAACACCCAGTCTATCGATCCTTTTCCACAGGTCTAAATCGATTTTTCGCAACGCCTCTGTTCTACACAACACGACAAAGACTCTGCGAAATATAAGGCAGAATCTTAAAGGCCTTTATACCTTTATACGACGTCATTTTTTCGGAACCACTGCAAAACGGAGCTAATAAAAATTCCTGTAAGTTCATTTTTTTCCCGACTTTAGTCTAGGGTCCGCCCACGTAGGTGCAATGCACAGTGGTTGACATAAACTTCACTTGTTTAAGTTTTAGGTTACCCTCCGCCGCCATTCTTTCGTGCACATACTGCACATCCCCTTTGTTTGTTCGCAGGAGTCGAGAAATAACGTTGTCACATTTTCGCAGATCATCACCCTAAAATCATCTCTGCAATACTGCCGGGCTAAGGAAAGACGCCGTATGAACATCTGAGAATTGCCAAATTTCTCCTCTTGAAACATTAATTTTTGAGGCAAATAATTATTATTTTTACCTGAAATTCTCTGATACTTCAGATCACATTGTGAGGAAAATTCCTTGATAAATTGGATGGACAATTTTTCACAAGTTTTCCCGCAAATTTGTATTTTACCAAAAGAAATTTGGCAACACTCGAAGGTTCATACGGCGTTCTTCCGTAGCACAGCAGAATACGAGTATACCGTTTAAAGCCCCCTCGCCTGTATTTTTGCAACCCTGCGCATTGTATGCCAACATCAGAAAGGAGGGGGGGGGGGGTTCGCGGCTCCGGATAGAGTTTTCAGTCGTTACGTTTTGCAAAGCAAATTTTAGCGAACATAAACCCTGGTTTACGAACTCCAATAAAGCGCCGTCGCGTGGATCAAATGGACGTATTTATGCGAAAAGGAGATATGTGCAAGTGGAAAGATGGGGTGTGCTCGTTAGTGGTCGGGCCATAAGAATGAATGGGGAATAAAGCGCCAGTGACGTCAGCGGCAATGAAGGAGACCGCGCACGAGCCGGGGATCATCGTCGGGGCGCTGTAACTCATGAGCCCTGTCCACAACGCTCTCTTGCCATGCCCGCGGCTCATGAGTTAGCATATTTTGGCGTTTAGCTCCTTTTGATTTAATGTCAAATCCCGCTTCTCAATTTTCTCAACAGGAGCTATATCCACTTTTACATTGTTTCTTATGACCCAACTAACGAGCACACCCCATCTTTCCACTTGCACATATGTCCTTTTAGCATAAATACGTCCAAATACCGATCGACTCGCTCGCAGTTTATTTCCATCCTCGCAATTTTTTGATGTTGGATGGTGTTGATTTTTGCTACTTTTATTCCGTCGTAAATTTGCATTTTAATTATGATTTTTGTTTTGTTTTGCTCTGCGCAGTGTGCCGCTCGCAGCTGGATCGAGGCCACCTTTCAAAAGCGGGACTGTGTCAAATTCATCCCCAGCCCTATTGATGAGCACAGGTAATGAAAATAGCTTTTCTTCACTGAAAGAAAAGTGGAAGTGGGATTGACCATAATGGTATAGTAAAAAAAAATATGGTGATAAAAAGCCAAATAATGGTCGATTTAAGCATCTAGATGAAAGTGAGAATCATACTCGATACAAAAATTACCATACCCGGATTGTAAATATCAGTTAGGTGTGTCTGTCCATCGTTTAGGTATTTCTCACCATCAGCTGGGTATTTTTTACCATACGATGAGTTAAAAGTATGAAATAACATGGTAACACTTGCGTTTGATATCTGTAGGCATCTGTATGCGACTGGTCATGGTGTTGGTAGGTTAAATTTACCATACTGGTATAGTCAGCGTGGTGAGAGCTCCCGCTTGACTGCGCTGCGGTCTGTGGTCCGCCATTTTTCGTTTGTCAGTTTGTCAGTTATAAATTTATCACGTTGAGGGTCGGAGTCCGTGGCTGTGTTTTATTGATCCATATTAATCCATGTGAATCCACGCGTAATTTGCCCAAATTTGTGTTCGAATTGTCCCTAAAGCTACCGTCTTCTCTTCGAATCTATCTATATTGATCTGCCACATACATTTTCTGAGATTTTTTCGTTATTCGTATCGACCAATTTCTGGAGGTTAGGAGTTGCTACAATGAATCTGGCTTGCAAAGTGAAGGAATCCTGAAAATTTGAAAACCTTCGCAAAGTTGTTCTGCAATCCAGTGAATATCGGTTCTGTGTGAAGTCATTTCGAAAACATAAAAGTGCGGAAGTAATTTGAAAATAATCGACTAGAAGTGATTTTTGAATACTTCGTTCGTAGGTATATCTATATTCTTGTTAAAATTTTCGAAGCTCAACATACTCAGATGAAGAGACAAATGTGCGTGGGATTGATGTTTAACTGTAACTTTAAGCAAAATTTGGCAGCTTCTGCCCCACCGTGAACCGTGCGATTGGATTTTCATGTAGTGTCTTTTTGTGGGTATATTTTGAACTATCTATTTATTATATGCAATTAAATTTTCCGTGGATCTGATTTAGTCTGATACCTTAACGCGAATAACACGTATGGTTTTGGTATCATTTACTTGAAATCAGTGAAGCAATTATCTGCTATTTCTCGTTGAAACTGTCTTTAACTGCCATTGATTGTGTATGTAACGGAATTTCTAAAAGTAAGATGTAAGTAAAATATCCACGACTTTCATCAAAAGCATTTAATAATATAAGATGAGTGGATTTTAGAATCTACAAGGTTTGTCGCAGCATCTGGATGCTTGAAATTACCATACTAGTCAGTCGGGAACGCCACACTGGCACTGTGTCGCATAGTGTCAGCCGTATCGTGTTATTTACCATACCGGTATATTGGTAACTATGCTGCAGCTTCACTGTGTAAAAAATCAAGTAGACAGTATGGTAAATAACACCCAAACTCTGGTAAATCCCACCGATTATTTTTTTCAGTGTTGTATTACTTATGGAACGCATTTAGCAAAAAGGAACCAGCGCGATTACAGGGTTGTAAAAATGTTGCTTCTTCATAAGTACCTAGAAATTCTCCCAGAATAGCAAACACTTTTGGCTTCGCACCATAAAATTGTCAATTTCAAAGGAAAATAATTGTGTAAATTTTGTGTAAAAAATCAACTTTACGGAAGAAACTGTAGAGCGGACTAACCAAAGTCATTTTAATTTTTGTTACACCCTTCCTCAGTATTTTTATTAAAATGTGTGCATTTGCAAGTTATTTTATACGTGGAGGAACATTGTGCTTCTTCCAGTCTTTTAAATTGCAAGTAACGAGCGCCTAACTTTGAAATAATCTGCTTCCAGGAGCTTGAATCGCGTTTCAGTGCCCCCTCAACCTACTGTGCGCAGGGCGGGGGAGGGGGGAGGGGTAATTGCCTGAGGTCAAACATGTTAAAATATACTTAATCTACGGAATAAGTTGTACCACATACAAGAAAATTACAGTTCTTGAAGCCTTTGCATTTGTTGGTAACAAGCGCCGAACTTCGGAAAAAAGCGATTTCGGAAGCTTTAATGACGTTTTGGGGCCACTTTAGCCTACCGTAAGGGGGGTAGGTAATTACCTGAGGCCAAATCTGTTAAAATATCCTAAATTTACGCAAAAAGTTGTGTTAGAAACACCATCAATAATGCGTGTTGAGCATCTACAACTCCCTTAAAAACGGCAGTCAAATCGGCGAAAAGCGTAAAAATGCGCTTCTTCAGTTTTACGCGCTGCATCTTTCCCCTGTTTTCGGCACCATTTACCCTTGACGTAAAGGCCTCAATTTTTTTACAGTGTTTTTACATCAAATAGAACCAATTTAGGGGGTTCTGCTCATTAAATTCCAAAAAGTCCAAAATAAGGGCCACCCTAGGGATCACACCCGCATTTTTAACTGGCAAAAACAAGGAAAATTAGAAAGAAGAACACTATGAGCCTCACCGCTGTTATTGTGAGACTCAAAATTACAGCGGTGAGGCTCGTAGTGTCCTTCTTTCTAATTTTCTTTGTTTTTGCCGGTTGAAAATGCGGGTGTGATTCCTGCGAAACGTCCCGGGCTTTTTATTTCACTTTATGTGTTCTTTTTATTATTTGCAGCCTTAGTCCCAATTTAAGTTGTTTCTTTGTCAGGGTTTTGGGCCGATTAAGTTGTTAATACATACACGTTGCGTAACACACGACACACCCTCTTTACACATTTTTTTTTTTAAAAAGAAAAAGTATGCACTCACAAATCATGGATTGGTGGTTCGTGCCACTTCGGCCTCACTTTCGGTTGCTCGTACACGATAAAAACGTAACGATGAAGACCTGAGGAAAAGAGAGAATAATACTCCACATGAGTGTTGTAATAATGATACGCGAATAAATAAAAACTAAAATTGAAAAAATATAATAAATTAGAAACGATATTAATTCGGGTACCAACTTCTCGGCGCGCGGGTACAAAACTTAGAAGTGTAAAGAAGATTAAAATAACCGAACTCCGGGAAAGAAAGAAAGTAGTATAGTAGGAGTGCAATAGTATTGTTTTGTCTCGTGCTTTGATTTCTTTGGCTATTCTTACCTCAAGTAGGAAAAGAAAGGATTAATTAACTTACTTACATTTCTATATTTACACTTATTTATATTTATTTTATACAATAAATGATTAAATTATTAAGTAAAAGTATGATTTGAAAAAATAACCTGTGTCGGGCGGCATCATCACAGGAGCATACTTTGCAATATTGTGGTGCCTTGAAGCCAGAGCTTGGTATGTCAACCACCAGCCATTGTAGAAATTCACGATTCATATAGTTTGCAACTGACGGGTCATCAGCTCCTACGAAAGATACATTTAATGCATGATGAATAAAGTTCTCGGAAAGCACGATGCATTTCATTTTCTAGGAATTTCAATGATAATCTGTGAGGAGAACATTGACTTTCTTGGTCAAGCTTTTGGTGTTTACCATCGGTGGAGTTAAACGATTTCATTTTTGATAGAGTTCTGACGAAATTCCACTTACCCGTCAACATAAGTGTGTAATTATGACCCGGTGTGACTGGCCAACCGCACTTCACGGGCTCTTTTTTCAATTCGTCGGGCTCAAGCTTATTCCAAAAATACACTGTGACGCCGGGGATATACGTGACCTGCGTGGCAAGATACCAGAGAATAGTGATGAAACTGTGCAGAACTCCAACATTCACGAACCATAGGATCAAGAAAATTACCCCGAGAAATTTAGTCATCCGCTGGAATTTGTAGTTGGGTATGAGTTGAATTAAGGAAAATGCATCTGCAGAGTCGATCAAGACATTTTTTAAGGTTTATTAGTAATATTTTTTTTGTAAGTTCACTCAAATGCCGCAAGCACACGCTGCATTTAGCAGCTGAATGTGGAAGTCAACAGTCATCGCCCAACGGCTGAAATTTGGCAAATTCGAGTTATTTTCATCCACATGTGTATCAAATCTACTCGAATAGTTCAGACAAATCCAACATTAGTCCGATGGTTGCTGAGAATCGTTGCTGAATTTTACGCGTCACGCGCAAAATTTAGGCATCGGGCCGATGACTTCCACATTCAAGCCAAATAAGCTCCCACATTCAGCGTGTGATTGCGGCAAAAGCATTATACTTCAAATTTATGCTGCAACTTTACCAAGATTCCAAATGAGGTGATGTAAAGATTTGATGTATAAAATAATTGTGAATATTTGAAAATGCCAGAAATGTACTATTAAGGGTAAAGACCAGGATTGAGCATCTTTGAAAGACTAGGCATTCTTGACGATGCCCAAAAGTGACGGGCAACGATGGCAAAACCACAAATGGACTGCATTTTGCAATTTGAAACTATGAATTCTGGCTCTTATGGAAAAACACTTATGTGCGTAGGAAAATTAATGACATATACATTGTTTTTAAACCAGGCTAGAATTTATAGTTCCAAATTTCAAAATGTAGTCCAAATGCTCGGGCATTGTTAAAGATGCCCATCGGATCATGCTGGCCTTAGGTTTCCGAGGGAGATGACACAGAATATGATAGTCGAGCATGGAATCTCAATTATTCAGGATCATATTGAGACTTTTTGAGCTCCAGTCGCGGTAACTGGTGAGAGTCTCCCAAATCTTTACCTCTATGGGAAATTTCATGTGGTAAGTTTTTCAGGTTGGGCCCATCCTGCGAAAAAAATTTGAGAATTTAAACCCCTCCTAAGCGCAATTTTAGGCAATTTTTTTAACGTATCGTGCGGGAAATAAAAGGAGCAATTTAGACACACAAAAAAATTCATTATTTTGATATGCCCTCGCAAAATGTGGATGGTCAAAAGGTGAAATCAGAAAGAAACTTGCAATATTGAAATGGGGCACCATAATTTTCACCAAATTAAGGTAAAATAGCCAGCAGCAAGATTGTGAATTGTGACAACAAGAATTGCAAAACAGGCTCTGTAGTTCTGTACCTACTCTGCATGAACACTTTTCAGTGGTTTTTTTCCGTCGGCAGTCTAATTGCGTCATTTTTTGCCCAATAGAAAGTTTTAGACGACACATTACTGCCGTAGTAAGGAAGAACGCCGTATGAACCTTTAGACGTTGACAAATTTTCTTCGGTAAATCACCAATTTTCGGAAAAAATTGTGAAGATTTTTACTCAAATATTTCCGATAATATTGTTCTCAATTTCACCTAAAGTTCCCGAAAGTTTCAAGGAGAAGTAATCATAACTTTCTTCAAAAATAACTATTTTCTGAGAGGAAAATTGGCAACTCTCGAATGTTCATACGGCGTTCTTCCTTAGCACGGCAGATTACCTCTTAGCGCGTGAGTAACGCGGCACTAAGTGCTTTAGCCGCACTCGCTGTCAACCTTACTTTATACAAGATGAGTTTCTTCAAACACACCACGCAATTGGCTGTAAAACTATGTAAGCGCGTCATACTAATGCACTTGAGTAAAGGTCTCGGCGCGACATGGGACATGCAAACAAAACCACTTTTCGGTCATTACATGTTTGCAAGTGTTCACGCCGTCTGCCATTTTTGGATAGGAGCCAATAAAAATCGGCCTCCTAATGGCGATACTCTCTCTATAATCTACATTATGGTTAGTCTACCCGTTGTCTCGAATTCTTCAGAGAAAATAACAAGCTCTCGGTGTTTATTTATGATAATTTGTGAAAAATAATAGCATTACAGCAGGTTTGAAATAACATGCAGTCAATCATACACTCTGGAACATGCCACTTTGAAATCAAATGAACTTACGTTAATTACATACTTAGGACTGCAAGGTATTACATCTGGTATGATGTCGTCGTCTTTTAATCTCCTTTCGATTTCTTCTGGAGGCCATTCGTGAGGGAAGAGCGGACACAAAGGTTCAACGTCATCCTCCGGTTTGAATTTTTGTCGGAAACCTCTTTTTCCATCCACTAAGTAGTAAGATAGATAATATAATTTAATAATCACTATTATGGGATTTTTCATTGTTTCTTATTTGGTTAAGGGTGTGGAGGAAACAGGAGACAGAATGAGATCACTCATAATAAGGGGAACAGGCAAGGAGGCCAGTATAATACAAACCGGGTATAGTATAATCATTCATTTAAAAAGAAATGAGCACAAAATTGTAACACCACTTAGTTAAGAGAGCAATCATTGATAAAAAAATGTAACGTGCAAGTTTTAAGTGAGAAAATTCTGGGAAGTTCACTGGGTTAAATTTAGGTGTGTCGCACAGTGAGGAGTTGAGAGTTGCGTAGTCATTTCCGTAATCAATAGTTTACGGAAGGAGAGGATGAGGTTTGCGGAGGTTTTAAACCAGTGGCGTGGCGTGCTTTGCGATATATCGATTGATCGGCCATTTAAACCTATGGAAAAGTATCGATAAACAGGGTGTTCGCAGCGAACACCTTAATAATCGATTGTTTACCACAGCTTCAAATAGGGGAAAATCGATAGATCGCAAAGCACGCCACGCCACTGTTTTAAACGTATTGACACATTCCTTTTATCATGTTTCTTCATCATCTTCTACTGTGTACGAATCATGCGTATTTTATCAATTCACGCGTTTATCATTATCAAATCATGCGTGCCGGAGTCAGAGGCGGATCCAGCATTTTGGCAACACCGGATTTCCACTGTATAATTCGATGTCAAATAATCGATTCTTGGCAGAGCACCTGGCCCGCCAAGAATCGATGTATTCCCATAGGTTTAAATGGAGAAAAACATTGTTGCCAATTTGCTGGTTCCGCCAATGAGCGAAGTTTAAAAGGAAAACGTTCTTGTGCATCTCATCATCTTTTGTGACCTTTATAAATAATCGTGTTTATCAGAATTTCTTGTTTATGTTTTCTAAAAGCCAATATCCCTTTGGGCAACTTCTCTGAGACTTGATGTGATTTATTTCCTTCATGAGCTGATCTTGCAAACATCTAATAATTGAAGTTTTTTTTTACATTTTTTCCCCGCTTGAGTAAATGGTATTCAGGAATGATGTATGTTTGGTTTTAATTGATATTTTAATCAGTACACAAAAATAGAGATGTCTTTAATAACCGGCCAAAAAAGCAAGGATACAAGAAAAAAAGGAAAAAAGAAAATTATCGACGGGTACATTTTTTTATTGAATTTTCTTGTTGCACGTAAGGGTTTTTTTCATTTTTTTTAAATACAGGAAGGTTCAAACTTTCCATCGTGTGGGAGTGCGTTTTATTGGCTCCTTTCAAAAGGAAATTTCACAATTGAAAGCAAGCTCTATTCCGAGTAGAAAAAAGGGATTATTTAAATATTTTCTTGAAGTATCTTCGAGTGAATTTATTTATTAATTGATGAAATACTTTGAAAACTCAGATTTGGAGAGGAGTAAACGTCTACCTACATATTTTTCTTATTTTTTTTTAAAAACAAAAAATCATTTTTAGACGAGAGATCGTCACCTTTCAGGCAAAGTATCACAAGCGCCATGCGACGTTTAAAAGTTTCCACCGCTATTTTATGTTTTTACAGAGAAATAGTTGGTTGTAGTTGTCCGAAAATTTCACTGAATTTTTTTTTGTGCTGCCCATAAAATTCAGTGAAATTTTCGAACAGATTCAACCAATAATTTCTATGTAAAAAAATAAAATGGCGGCGAAAATTTTTAAACGTCGCATGGCGCTTGTGATACTTTGCCTGGAAGGTGACGAGATGATAATGTTATGTGTAAAAATGTGCGGATTGAATTTGAGTCTAAGTTTTGTCGAAAATAAAGAAATTTGAAGTTTGTCAATTTTTCTCAAAGCATCAATACTTTCGATCGCCTTTTACATAAAAAGAGTCCAAAATGCGGGCATCATCAAAAATATCTGGCCTAACCGCCAGATCCTGACTCTGCGATAAATCCAAAACGAAACAATTTAATCTTATTCATCCACTTGAGAAAACAAACTTGAAAGTTCGACTGTTATTTCTTTCTTTCTTTGATTATTTGGGGGGGGGGGGTTATAAATTTTCTAGAACAATTTTTGCGTCATGGCATTCTTGAAATGTTCCGCAAATCACAGCCAAAGTTCTCAATAATTTGTTCATGGATTTCCTTTAAGACCCGTCTTAGTGGCATTCAATCGATAATTCTTCTCGTAAATTTCGGGCCCTGGGCCTTTCCGGCTTGGGGGTTCAGGTTCCGAATGGAAGTAATTAGCCGCATAAAGATCACCGAGATTATACTTCATCGCAAATTTCCTGTTCGAGAACTTGACCCTGCGTTTGTCTTTACTGTAAAAAAGAAAAGCGAAGATTCAAAACATACTATTAATAAATGCGATTTTCATGATAGAAAAAGGATCAAATTCAGATTGCGTACGAATATGGAATGGACTACCAGACAAGGTACGAATTGAGGCAATCTGATACACATTTCATTGTTTCTTCACCAACATTTCACGTAGAACACCATTCGCGCAACGAAAATTACTGAAACAAACTCTTAGCGAAGATATTAACGTTTTTATTTCACATTGGTTGCGAGGAATTTGAACTGCCCACTCAGAGGAAACTCAAAGCTCTACGTGAGTCAAATCGCGCACTACAACGGTTTCAGCAAGCTTCTCAATCGAGCAATGTTCATTCCCCACCATAAGTTGTTCAAACTATGAGCAATTTGCTACAGCTGAGCTAAAGCGTCAAGATCAAGGTTGGCAGATCTTTATACAGCAGAGACTGTCATGATAACGTTTAGCGCGTCATGTGAATCACGCAGAGCATTGATTTTTCATGAGCGGATGATTTTAATTCACGTATCAAGAATCATTAAATATCTTCACAAGGAGTTTATTTCGGCAATTTTTGTTGTGCGTATTGTGTTCTACGTAAAATTTTGGTTAAGGAAAATGTATCAGGAAACTGAAATTTGTACCTTGTCTAGTAGTCCATTGAAACTATTCGACATATTTGAGTCTATGTGAAAGCTCCCTGTCTGTATGACATGACAACCTTTGGATGTTCATTTTTTCTTTATTTGCTGTGCATGCTGTTTTTAAATTGACTTTTTTGTAATGAGGAGAGGTAAATTATTTTGGAAAATTACTTTTATTTTAATTTTTTTGGTTGATTATGATTGCGTCTACGTAATTTTTACTTTGCTGAAAGATAACCACATGCCGGCCAGGTTGGCTTAAAGGTCAGCGCGTCTAACTCTAGGTCAATAGGTCCCGAGCTCGAACTCCGGCAGTAGCGACAAATTTTCACGGAAGTGATGAGTGGATCCTTAATCCTTGAAAAATTGAAAAGCCTAGACCACGGCAAGGCCTATCACCCTGATGTTTACGGACACTAAATAACGTCTGTAAATGGCTGTAGGTTCCAAACGGTAAAAAAAAAAAAAAAAAAAAAAAAAAAAAAAAAAAAAAAAAAAAAAAAAAAAAAACCAAATAGCCAGCAAAAGAGGGGAGGGGGTAGAAAAAATTGCAAACTTACTTATCATGAATTAATGTTTCATTCCAATTTGGTCTTTCTTTCGGCTGTTCGTACACAGTAAAAACGTACCTATGAAGACCTGAAAAAAAAATGAAGGTAATCACAACGCAATGAAAATCTCCGAAAATTATATTTGTAATTATCATTGCAATATGGATGTATGCGACCAAGAGAAATGGAGTCGTGCTTCTTTTTCTCTATCACATAGTACCATACAACAAGGCAAGAATTTAGAATATGCTAATTATTTCAACCCATCCACAAATAAGGGGCCTTGGCACAAGAAAACTCAAATTTGATTCATTGATATCAGAGCATAGAAGAAATAAACGATGGGAAATTTCGGGATGAAATTTGCCGGAAATGTCTAGGGGAACACGAGTTTAGCCAATTTAAAGTTCGCAGTTAAAAAATCGTAGTTCCTTGGAAAAGCTATTACGCACGAACAACTCGTTCTACTGATAATTTTATCTTATTGGAATAAGGTTCCTTTTTCCGTGGATTGTCACATTATTTTTAATAATACCCAGTAATATATGTCTTTTGGAAATAGAGGAGAAAATAATAATCTGACTGTTCTCTGCGTCTTGCAAGCAAAAATATTTATCGAGGCGGATCACAAATCTCGCACGCCAGCAAAAATTTTGTTTACATTTTGCAGTGAGGATGAGGAACCACTATTACTGGTTCCTCCATGAAATCACCTGACTGCATGATAAAACTTACGTCACGTATGTCGTCTTCAAAATGAGCTGAAAATCGCAGTCCCTTATTACACAGTATAGTCAGTGTGTGGCTTGCAATCCCCCTCTTAGTACTACAATGGCATTGCTACTTGTTGTGTGAATAAAAAATCATATTGCCCCTTAGTAATGAAATGTGAATTTGAAATATCGTACCAGTTTTTTTGTATCATTTCCACAGGAGCATATTTTACAAGTTCCACGCCTTGATGCAGGTCGCAGCCTGGTATATCAACTACCAACCATTTCAGGAGCTCCCGATTTACATGATTTGCAACCGACGGTTCATCAGCGCCTACGGAAAAAAATGACGGGAAATCAGGTCCATTAAAATGCAATGCATCGTATTTAAAAGGAGACAGAAATATTACATCGATCAGACATCATTACAGAGGAAAGATCTAGATTTAGGGCAAATGAGAAAACGCAAATTCAAAGTATATTAATGGGATCATCCTACGTTGATTTTAAATTCCTTTTGTCATGGGAACGGAGTTCCCCATGATATTACAATCGTTCCGTTGCTTTCGCTATGGGATTCCCTATACCTCTGCGACCTTGAGCGTTTCGCCCAGTCTCCGATTTTTGGTTGATTTTCCGATGTATCAAAAACCGTTGT